TAGTTAAGTAGTAAAACAATTACATCTCTCTTTTGTGAACAATCTCTTGGGTAGATAAAGAAATTGGGTTTGAATCAGTCAACAGTTAATCATAAGTCTTAGTGGGAACGATACTCTACTCACTACCTATTACTTGACGATCACGTGTACTTGCGTGAGTGTTTTTGATTGCAACAATCACACATGAATCTTACACACAAGTATACATGGATATATATGTGATACACAATTGATACAAATATGATACACATATCAGTTGTTTTTCACATTTAGTTTTTACTTCGAATTTTCAATTCAAACCACCCCAAAACATTACCAAATCATCCCAAAACTGAGATTCAAGCTCCTTAAGATGTACACAATCTATTCTAATAACACTCACTGAAAAAAAGCAAAAAATTGAGAAAGATGTGATTGATCGTTGTTTGAGAGATCGAGTGAAGTGCATCGAGCATAGAATGACGTTCGATAAGTTTGCCTTACCACTTGGAGTTCACGCTTGGATTGATTACTTAGGATCTTTGACTGAAAAAAAGATTTTGTTGTCATACCTTTGGATTGATTTGGACGTGATCTTAGTAGGATCCTGGGTGCAAGACTTCTTGGTACTGATTGGACTTTGGTGTACTAGACCATATACCCCTACTAGAGTGATGCGCCAGTTAGGAAGGCGACAAGAAGTTCTCTACATTCCTGATTCTCGTGACTTCATTAGGGAGATTGACACTATGCCTGCCTCACAAGGAGGTCAACATTCAAACCTATTGGCGTCATGTAATGAAGATGGGTAGAGATACTTTAGCAGCTGACCCACATTCACCTGGGTATACCCATGAGTACTTCATATGGCTACAGTCTACTCAGCGGGGGGTTAGCAGGTCGTTGACCCGACGTGTTAGAGGAGTATTTGATGAGGGGGCCACCTCGCGGATATTGCTCAAACAGTTAATGGATCGATTTACCCAGGCAGAGGAGGTTCACGCAGCAGAGAGGGTCGGTGTGACGACCCAAAGGGGTCATCACTTGCTTTCAGTTGATTTCTGTACCTCCGAGGCCTTGAAAACCTTATTAGAGTCACCTCTATTTGTGTGCACAGTCCGGGCACATAGCCGAAAAACTTAAATATGAAACTCTGTAAAACAATGCTAAGTTTTGATTTTAAAATGAATAAACTTGACTTCGGTCAATATTTTGGGTAAACAGACCCATATCCGTGATTCGACGATCCCATAGGGTCTATAGGAAAATATAGGACTTGGGAGTATGCCCGGAATCGAATTTCGAGGTCCCAAGCCCGAGAAATGAATTTGTTTTAAGTGAAATTGTTATCAAAAATTTGTTTAAGGAAAATTGAAATGAAACTAGTTAGAAGGTGATGGTATCGAGCTCGTATTTTGGTTCCGGTGCCCAGTACAAGTTTTATATATGACTTAAGTCATTCCTGCGAAATTTGGTTGAAAATGGACGTCGTTTGATGCGATCCAGACCTTAATTGAGAAATTTGATGTTTAAAAGAGTTTTGAGAAATTTCATTGATCTCGAAGTTTAATTTGATGCTCGTGATGTTATTTTGGTAATTTGATTACACGAATATGTCCGTAGGATGCTTTTGAGGTTGTATGTATACTTGGGTTGGAGTTTCGAGGGCTCGGGTGAGTTTCGAGTAGGTTCTGGGATGCCTTAGGCTTAGAAAGTTAGATGTTGTAGGTTCAGAAAGTTGCAGATCTCTGAACCCTCTAGTGCGGTCCGCGAGAAATCGCGTGCGACTGCGGAAGGGCCGGCGCGGCCGCGGTAGCCTTTGTGCGGTCCGCGGTGGAGGCTGTGCGGCCGCAGTCGGCCTTGTGCGGTCCACACAGAGTGCTGAACTACAGGTCTTCAGGGAGTCCAGCGCGGTCACGGTCGCCTTTGTGCAACCCGCGGTGGAGTCTATGCGGCCACAGTCCATTTGATGCAGTCCGCACTGGGGGTCTGAGAGTTATTTTTCAGTTATTTTTCACTTTTCAAAACCCCAAAAACATAAGAGGCGATTTTTCAAACAACCTTTCTTCTCCAAAACTTGGTAAGTAATTTCTAACTCATTTTCTTCACTCCTTTCTTTCCTTCTCTTGATATTTTTCAGAGCTACCTTTAATCCAACCAATAGCAGAACACTACAGAGATTTTCGGGATTTTGGTTGGATTTTCGAATTTTGAAGGGTTTTTGAGATTTCTCGGGGAAGAAGGGAGAAGGTTCGAGACCCCTATATATTGGGGTTATTTCTCAGAATTTTGGGGGAGGAAAAAGAGAAGGGGTTCTAGGGTTCTCGAGAATTCTTCTTATTTTTTAATTTTTGTTAGAAATACAAAAAGGGTAATACAATCGAAAATAGTTGGAGTATTTTGGTTCAACTTATGTTTCTCCATTTCAAAAATCAGAAAACAAAAAAAAAGAAAAAAATATTTAGTTCAGCTGTTCTTTGATTTTCGACTTTCTTCCTCCAATTTTGGATTCCCCATTTTTGATTTTGTTGTTCAAATATGGAGATCGATTGAGCCAAAATCGAGTTCGCCGTTCGAGGTTCAAGCTCGTGATTCCTTGTCCAGTTCTAATTGTTGCACTCATTCAATTCCAATACATTGTTGGATTTCGTCGCTTGTACATTCAAAGCTGAATTTATCGAAAAGTTTCAGTTCAGGTTCATCTCTTTCCTTTTACTACTATCTTGGCGTGCATCCAAATATGATGAGAGTTTAGGACAAAAGTGATTGAATTGGAGTGCTAGTAGGGGCTGATTCCTGTGGTTTTTATGCCATTGATTCCGAACCTGTTCTGTTTTACCTTGGGTGTTTGAAGTACTTCTTAATCTCGAATCTGCTTGTTTCCTTATAATATTAAAGGATTGATTACCTGGTGTTAAGAAATTGAAATAATCGATTTAATTCCTTGTAGTTCCATGGTTGACTAGCCTGTTTCTGGTGACCGCGCTTATAAGCTCGTCGATTATTTTGTAACTCTCATCTTAATTTTGTCTCGTCTGGTTGTGGTCGTGTTGAACAGTTGTTTGTAGTTTCACTATTGCTGTTGAAATCCAATAATTGGTGCATTCATGGGTAATGATCAATAGTCCATGTTCATATATGCTGCATTTAAATAGGATCACTTAGGGCATTTGTTTGATAACTTACAGGGAATTTTGGTTTGTTTACTTGGAGTTCAAATATGAGCTTAATGTTTTAGTTTGCCGAAAATCTATTGGATTCATGGTTTTTGTCTAAAGTATCATGCTTGAATTAATGTCTTCTTGAGGAAATACCCTTTTGTGTGTAGTCAGGATAACATGAAATTCTAAAATTCTATTTGTTTGAAATCCTACCATCCTCGCCATTGAAAGATCATCGTCGTGTCTAATAAGTTCGTGGATTTTTCTTTTAACTCTCGAACTTGCTTCAAGGAGTTGATTCATCTTGAACTAGAGTTTACTTGTTTTTTTTTTTTTTTTAAAAGTTGTTTGGTGTGAGCTTCCTATTTCATTTTATAGAATAAGGCTCTTAGTTTGACAAATCAAAATTGATTGTTTGTTAGTAGGTTTTGTTCTGGCGGTAAAAAAGTAAGAATGGAATGGGTTAGTTAAAATTTATAAGGCTCTCATCATATTCGGATCCGCTATTTTATTTCATTAAGTCTATTGCGTTATTGCATTTTTTTCTTTCCTTTTCCTATATGTGCTCTAGTCGTTTGCTATTATCTTTGTGTATGAATGTTTTACTTGAATTATTTTGAATGACTGTGGGGTGAAGAGTGGGAGAAATTCAAAAATAGCCAGATTTACAACTGGTCGTTCAAAAATAGCCCAGTTTTAGAAGTAAGCAAAATTTAGTTACTTTTCATGTAAAGATAAATATGAGTGAAAACACTGTTCAAAACCGAAAAATACGTCAGTATATTATATTGGAGTTCCAGCATAAGTATGCTTGAATTCCAACATATTATACTGAAGTTCCAGGATAAGTATGCTGGAACTCCAGCATAATATGATGGAGTTCCAGCATAAATACACTAGAACTCCAGCATAATATACTGGAGTTCCAACAAGTATAATTGTCCAGTATAATATACTGGAGTTTGGAGCACCGGTGCTCCAGTTTTCAGTATATTATACTGGAGTCAGCAAAGTATACCGGTCCAGCATAATATGCTGGAGTTCATACATAGGTGCACCGAACTCCAGTATATTATGCTGGACCGGTCTCTGTTGCAGCAAAATAGTGGCTATTTTTCATTGACTTCATAAACGCTGGCTATTTTTGAATGACCAGTTTGAAAACTGGCTATACCGTGCTATTTTTACGTGGGGAGTGGCAAAGGCCAAAGCCCATTAGTGATTAAACTATCTGCATGCTTTAGGATTGGACTTGGTCTAAATACATGAAAATGACAAGTCAAAAGAACATGACTCCGAGTTGAATTCCCTTTTAGTTTTCTCTTATTTTCTTATTCTTATTTTCTTATTGTTACCCGCTCGGAGCATGATTAGGCCGAAACACTTGGGTAAGCAAGACTTAGGATTTTTGTTAGTTTCGAGGCGAGAGGTCGTTCCCTTAGTTAAATTTATCTGGAAAATGCCCCGAAGGATTTATATATATTTTTATTCGGGGTATGCCCCGAAGTATTTGTATTTGAAGGCCGAAAGTAGAACTCGTAGTATGTTATTTTTATTTTTATTTTTGTTCTCATTTTTTTATTATGTGGGGATGACTTTGAGCCTCTTGTGTGTTGTTTTTCTTTTCTATGTTTGTTTTTATCTCAGTTTGAATATTTTAAAAGCTGACTAGATCAAGTATGCAACTGTACTAGTTACGGGACTTGGGGAGTGCCTAACACCTTCTCCCCGAGTCAAATGAACCCCCTTATCCGAATCTATGGTGCGGACTCAATTTGGAGTCCAAAGCGTTTTAAAAGGAAAATTAATTTTAAAACAATGACCTGGCACACCGAAACCAATGTCAGGTGGCGACTTTTAGTTATTTCCTTTTGAACACAATTGTCACTTTTTAATTAAAAACCCTTTTGAGCTTCAAAAACTACTTTTAGTATTTTTAAGAGGGTTAAGGAGTTTTAAGAAAAAGGGGTGTAACACCTACGGGAGGACATCTGAAAGTGAAAATTAGTGGCAGAGGTTGGTGCGGTGGGCTGCGACCGTGGAAGCACCGTTTCTCTTCGACCACATAGTTGTTCGTATCTAAGAGTTGCTTCGTCTAATTTCCAACACAGTATGTAGAGCGAGAAACACGTCGCGAACACAAACCAAGAGTTGCTCCCAAGACAAATTTCATAAGCTTCTCCCTCTCATAAATCCACACTATTAAAGCTGGCAATGTGCCCATATCTAGTCGCTCCTTCAATACTATATAAGCAATCAAAAGGCTTGAAGGGACGAGTAGATACATAATATGTATCAGGGTATCAGAATAATATGTCTGAGGAGGAACCGCTAGATCATTAAAAATCACACTATAAAACCCCCATAAAAAGTAATGATCGAAATACATCCGAATGAAAGGTGAAGTTGGAGCTCTGTAAGCCAATACGTAGTAAAGGACAACATATTTAAAGGAATAATCGAAATACATAATGTCTAGTATAGAGATCCTATCGATCCCACCACACAACTATGTTGGTGGGCAAATCAGTTAGGTAAGTTCGTAACGGTAAAGTCCAGGTTTATTAGTCTTTGAATATTGCCACGTAAGCAAGTCAAACATCTCTCTTTGTTGCTTACGTTGACAATACGAACAAAAATTAATTGAAAAATAAATTAGGGGCTCAAACCTTGGTAGATCCGATGGCGTCTCCAATCGAGCTCCTCCTGCCTGGTTGTGTTCTGAATTTCTTTTTTTTCTTTTTTTTCTTTCATAATTTGCTGTTTTTATTATGGAACTTGTGATTCATTTATGCGCGCGGTTTGTCTCTTGTTTTCCTGCTTAACAATTTCGCTTCATCTTATGATTTTCATTCATACTTGTACTTTGGTTTTGAATTCTGTTATTGTTGGCTTGGTGATTCATTAAAATTAAGTTTTGTTCCTCACTGTTATTTGTCAAATTAGAACATTCAATTTAGGGCTTTAAAAGAAATTAGGGCTTCATAGTTTCTCATACCAATGCCATGATTCCATATTGGTTAAAGACGCGAAAGAATTTTCGCCAATTTTACTTAACTAAAACTAATTCAGTCATTTGTGAAACTAGATTAAAGTTTTAGAGAACTGGCATTCCATATGGATAGGAGTGGAAAATGGGTGGGTCGGGTCGGATATAATTCGGGTCAAAACAGGTAATTAGAAAACGGATAAATTATTCGATCTGACCCATATTTAATACGGAAAAAAACGAATTAATCGGCTGCTATGAACAAAAATAGTCAATGGGCCATGATGAAGAACGGGTTTAAGAAACTAGCAAACTTTATGTGGGATCCGGGTTGATGGGCCCAAGCGCCAAAATCAATTAAGCGAAATGGTTAAATAAAGTAGGGTAACAATAGTATAGGGAGGCTGAATATTGTTAGAAACTTCCCCTCTCTAGTCTCTCCCTCGTCTATTTCTCTCTGTGGCTTTGTCTTCTCATCCTTTTCTTTCTGTTACTATACTATTGTTACTTTTCAGTGTAATTCCTTTGTTATAATATCAATATATCAATGTGTTATTTCTGTATTGTGGATATTGAATCCATAACATTGGTGCTTTCATTGTCTCCATCTACCATGGTGGACCTATCTCAAGTAATGGGTCGTTTCAGCGGTGAGAATCCTCTGAATTGGGTTCTTCAGGCAGAGAGGTATTTCACCTTTTACAATATTTCATCGGAGCATAAATTGTCCTGGGCTTCATTCTATTTGGATGGCGACGCTTTGGAATGGTATCATTGGTTATTTTGAAACAAACAACTTGCAGGCTGGGACCAGTGGCGGAGGCAGGATCTCCACGAAGGGGGTTCAAAAAAAAAATTGTATCTAGTGGGAATTGAACTCATGACCTTACGTAGATTTTGAACCTCCTTGACCACTAAACTACACTTTTGGATTGTGTTAAGGGGGTTCAAAACTTAATATATAGAGGTAAAAAACAGATTTTGCCTTATATATACAGTGTATTTTTTCGGCGAAGGGGGTTCGGGTGAACCCCCTTGCGCCCCCCTAAATCCGCCCCTGGCTGGGACCATTTCGTGGACAAATTTTTTATTCGTTTTCGACGTCGCAATAGGGAAGCACCTGGCAGGCGTTTAGATTTTCTCCGGCAATTTACCACAGTGGATTATTATTCGACACAAGCGGCGGCTCTTCCAGCTTGGAGCAACATGGACAACTTGCCCTTGTATCAATACTGTCATGTTCGCTCTGACTACAACAACCTGAACATTGCCCACAAGGTGTTTGGAGAAAAGCCCAATAGGGAAATTGATAACGTGATAGTTACTGAAACAACATTACCAGCGCCAGATGCTATGAAGCTAAAGAGTAGTGATAAGAATCCATCTGTACTAATTAAAATTGTGACGCTGCAGTTTTGGTAACTCACGCGGAAGAAGAGATCTACAATTCAGTTTTGGATGACAACAAAGAGGACACAGACTTTCCTTTGCCACAATACTTTGTTGAGTCATTTGACTACAACAACAACAACAACAACGAGGTGCACAAGGAGTTTGATGAATTGTCGGATTGGTCTAAAGATGCTATTCAGGAACCAGATGCTGTTCAGGAACCACACAAAGAGTTTACGATGAAAACAGAGACTACTGAGGCACATTTCGCTAACAATTCGATGTATTATATCGCTCCAACTGCTGTGGCAAATGATCGTGCTAAGGTTGTCATAAAGGAAGACAAGCATGATGAAGCGGAAATTGTTACCACTAAAGAAGAACCTCTGGGTTTCGTTACTACAATCAAAGAGAAGGTTCCATTATGGATTGGTTTTGCATTCTCTATTTCCAGTGACCTCATCATGTTTGATGATCAACATGAACTTGAGCTAGCCCAATGTTTGGTGGAGATGTCTTGTATGGATTCAGCTTGCGGTTCCAACCAACTTCTAAATAGAGGTAGATTTAGTCACCTAAGTGACCTTGCTCATGCTGAACTTTTCTTGCCTTCGTTTCAATTTCCACCTGATCAATTTGGTTTAGAGTTTCCATTTGATCCTGGCTCTAGTTTGTTTACCACCTTCCTTAGAGTTACAAGAAACTGTGTGTTTTGTTTTGCTTCAAGCAACTTGGTGCATGATAATTTCATAACGTCAACCTTGTGGAATTCATGCATTACACCTTTGAAACTTCAGCTGCGAAATACTGCTGATGCATACGAATCCATAACAACAAACTATTTGGGTAAAAGTGTTCTCGTAAGAATTTTTATGTGTTGTCTTTCTGCTAGTAGTGTTGGAATTGTTAAAAAACTTATACAGATACGTGAATGGAGTGGAGCAAGTGAACTTAATCTTGTTTTAGATAAACTGATTGGAATTAGTTGCAAAATCATTGAAGTCATGAGTGGAGTTCCAATAGTGGGACGGTGGAAATTGTTTGTCGATATGATTGGCTCTAAGAATATAGATCAAGTTGGTCAATCAGGGCAGAAAACAAAGTTGAAGGCTGCAGAAATTTATCAAGGACACATTACACGACAAAGTATGATCTTATCCATTCCTAATGATGACTTCCGTATACCATCCAAAGGCAATAAGTTAATAATGTTCTTACTGGATTCTTTTGGAGATGCCAAGCCCAGAGTTCTTTTGATACTGTGTACCAGCCTAGATAATGAGGGAGATAAAGAAAAATTTTATGTTACTACAGTTGAGGATGCTAGAAGATTTTATTCCTTGCTTGGCTTTGAAGCAAATGTTGCTCTTAATTTCTCTAGTTGTATTAGGGAGTACTTCTCTACTATGAGATCAATTTGGGATCCTGGAGTTGATGGTTTGGCACTCTATTTGTTTGATCCTTGCAAAGAATTGCCCTACATTCCTTTGGGTGAGGACACCAAGATTAAAGGGATTGCAGTAACTGAAGTTTTCTGCAATCCAATGAAAGAGCACAGAGGAGCTTTTGATCCCTATTTGAATCTTCATAAGTTCACCTCCATGCTATCGATGTTGCTTTACTCGAACCTTGAGGACAAGGTTTTTTTTAAGGACGGGAGTATTGTTATGAATAAAAATAGTCAATGGGCCATGATGAAGAACGGGTTTAAGAAACTAGCAAACTTTGTGTGGGATCCGGGTTGATGGGCCCAAGCGCCGAAGTCAATTAAGCAAATTGGTTAAATAAGGTAGGGTAACAATAGTATAGGCAGGCTGAATATTGTTAGAAACTTCCCCTCTCTGGTCTCTCTCTCCCTCGTCTATTTCTCTCTGTGGCTCTGTCCTCTCGTCCTTTTCTTTCTATTACTATACTCAGTTATTGTTACTTTTCAGTGTAATTACTTTGTTATCATATCAATATATCAATGTGTTATTTCTGTATTTGATTGTGGATATTGGATCCATAACATCGGCGGATAAAAGCGAGGGGTGGCGGCCGTTATCACATGGTCATCCGGCAAAACGCGGTGGATCTAGACTTGGGATAGCATTGATAGAGAGTAGTATATATTTGTAATGTTATAGCTTTGCCCAGAGTTAGAAATATATTACACTCCCTAATGCTGTAATTTTGATTATGATTGTATTTAGGTTTGTCAATTGAGTTGATGACCACCGAGATAGCTAGTGAGCTAAATTAGTTACTGATTTGTAATGTTCTATTTGGTGATTAACAGAAAAATTAGTTACCACAAGAAAAAAGGTGATATATTTCAATGATTTGGCAGTTAAACTCAAAATTATTTGATATTATTTAAACATATGACGATAAACAATTATAAACAACTATATTATTATGTAAGAATAATAGATCCTATTCTTTTTTTGTTAATCCTTTCTATGGGCATGTTGGTGCATCCTCCAATTCGATATCTCCACTTCAAGATCTAGACTTTAATGCTCGGGGTGAATGAATGTGTCGGACATCATTTGCAAGAAATTAAGAGATGAAGCATGAAATGAGATCAGAGAAGAGATTAGAAAGAAATGAGAGAGAAAATGCGAGAAGCACTGCATGAAAAAATGAGACATGAAATGCAGCAAGAGGTGCGTGAGCAAGTTGATCAACTATTCCAAAACCATCTGTCGGTCCTCATAGGTGGCTTACTTACACCGCCTTCTCGTATATATGACTCGTCGTCAAATGACACGAGTCATAATTAGATTTATTTTAGCTTCTTTTATGCTAGACACGTCTTGGATTCTGCTTTCAACTTCATGATAGATGTTATTATTATTATTATTATTTATAAAGTTCCAGTAGTATGTTTTTGTTTTGTTTAAGTGTTTTTTTTAGATCTTTTAAAGCTTTAAATTAATATTACTACAATTATTAAAAATTAAAATTTTAATATACCCATTTAATTTGTAATAGTTGGTAACACATTTACAATTTGTTAGTAAATTTTATGATGAATTACTAACGTAATTTTTAAAAATAAATATCCATATTTGCTAAGGAATTTGAAATTTGTTTGTAAATTATCATTTACTAAACTGAACTTTTCCATAGCTATATTACCAACCGATTGCCAATGTATTTTTAAAAATATACTATCCGATTTACCAACCAAGTTGGTATCCATTGGTATAGTTGCTAACAGAATACTAACAGAATTTTTCTTGTTACTATATTTACTAACTAGTTAAAAACACAATTTAAATAATGAAAAACCAAATTTACTAATTCATTTTCTATCTGTTAGTAAAGTTACTAACGGACTTCCAACCGAATTTTGGTTAGTAAATTTACCAACGAAAATCTTGGACTCAAGATTAAAAAATTATCAACAAATTTATTTGGTGATTACTAACTGATTTTTAGTTGGTAAATTTTAACAACAAATTCAAACTGGCAGGTAAAATTTACCGTCGAGCCTTTTAGCAACGGATCAATATCTGTTGGTAGTCTGTTAGTAACTCAAATTGGCAACCAATTTGATCAATTTACCAACATTTTTTTTTGTTGGTAATTGGGGTTAGCAGTTGCTTCTTCAAGCGGCGGCGGAGCAAGAGGTGGTGGTGGTGGAGCAAGAGGTGGCGGTGGTAATAGTCGTGGTGGTGACAGAGCAAAGGGTGGTGGCGGAGCAAGGGGTGGTGGTGGCAGGTCTAGAGGAGGCCGTCGTGGCGGTGGCGGTGGCGGCGGAAGCGAGGGGTGGCGGCCGTTATCACATGGTCATCCGGCAAAACGCAGTGGATCTAGACTTGGGATAGCATTGATAGAGAGTAGTATATATTTGTAATGTTATAGCTTTGCCCAGTTAGAAATATATTACACTCCCTAATGCTGTAATTTTGATTATGATTGTATTTGGGTTTGTCAATTGAGTTGATGACCACCGAGATAGCTAGTGAGATCAACTAGCTACTGATTTGTAATGTTCTATGGTGATTAATAGAAAAATTAGTTACCAAAAGAACAAAGGTGATATATTTCAATGATTTGGCAGTTAAACTCAAAATTGTTTGATATTGTTTAAACATATGACGATAAACAATTATAAACAACTATATTATTATGTAAGAATAGTAGATCCTATTCTTTTTTTGTTAATCCTTATTGCGTAACTATTGAAGTTGACCATTAATAGTACTACTTTTTCAGAAAAGGTAGCATTTTTCCATAAAAAAGATTTCTTCTATTTTACTACTATGGAAATTTTGAAACATAGAGTTTTAAAAGAAAAATACAAAATGTTGTATTGGTGTTGGATACACTAGTATACCACTGGATGAATTTTATGAAGTTATTCTTTTGAAAATTTTAAGTTAAGAACCTTATATTGTACTGACGTAGTAACATGTAATTGCCGAAAATCTTCAAAGCCATACCTTTTATGTGTTCTTTTCTCGATAATAAGGTTGTCAACTTAAAATTGCTGGAAAATGATACTTTATAGCCGCTTTCAAAATAATAGCCGAAAAAAATATTTTTTCTATATATATATATACCTTATGTATGTTATATACAAAAACTATAAAAAATTTATAACTTTTTTTGATTACTGAATGCAAATAATTTATAGCGCGGGCTAAAAGTGATGATAATATCCCTAAAATTGCTTCTTCACCTCAGAAAATTAATCTTGCATTTTCTAGCTAGATTAGCATGACATATATGAGAGTTTAACTTATATATAATTAAAATAATAGTGTCACCTAAAAGAAAGATACATGATTTTTATAAAAAGTAAAATTAGTAACCATATGACATGTTACTTGCTACACACATGTTTAAAAACACCAATAATCTACGTACAGTCCTTTATTTAAGCATTTTAATTGGAAGACCAATGCTTACAAGTTACAACTATAAACAATGTTGTGCTACTAACTAATTAAAGCTGTGCTAAATTTAAGATGGTTAAGCGATCCTATATTATATAAAAAGATAAGAGTCAAAAATACTTCTATTATGCAACTCCTCTCTTGCTTGTCCTTTATTCTAATGAAGTTCCAAATTGAAGTTATAATTAAGGATAATTTAAAATTATTGTCAAAAGTAAAAGGGTACATTTAATATTTTTCTCGAAGTATTTTAAGGATTGGAATCCATCAGGTCTTAAAGTCAAAGGCGATACGAGATGATTTGATAGTGGCAAGGATATAAATGAAACCCAAAGAAATATGATTGTTGATAAATTAAGATATTTTGTATATTAATTAGTAAAGTATATTTAAACTATTTCCCTTGATAAAATGAGTAAATTAACAAAATATAGGCTGAGAAATTAGCTTAAACTGACAATAATCACTCACGTATAAATGAAGATGTTCAACATTACTACTTAGAAGCTAACTCTCCTACTCCTAAGACATAATAGTGGGGGAAATGGGCTTTGATAAAAAGTTGCACTAGCTTGAACATCAAAGGGGAAAGTCCACAAATAGCCATTCTCAGAGATGTTATTTAAAGATTAGCCCGTATTTATTTTGTCCTGAAATTTTAAATTAAAAATCTTAATTTGAGGACAACTCAGGACATTTTATGTTAGCTAATTCTTATATAATAACCCTATAGAGTGGCTATCTGACATCATTTCTACGACATCAAAAGACTCATATTACATTCATGAGACTATTTGAAGCATGGCCATAGTAAGATGAAGCACTTGAATACCCACCTCCCGTCCCTTTCATAGTTTGTCGTCCACCTTCTCCTCCGCCTCCTCCTTTTCCGGCCACGGAAGGTATAAGTAGGGCTAACACTAGTGTAACAACAACAACAACAACAACAACAACCCAGTATAATCCCACAAGTGGGGTCTGGGGAGGGTAATATGTACGCAGACCTTACCCCTACCCCGAAGGGTAGAGAGACTGTTTCCAGGAGACCCTCGGCTCAAAAAAAGCAACAGGAGCCGATATATTAGTACCATAAAAATGCATAATAAAATAACAGCATAATAAGAGATATGAAATACAGAATACGAAATACGAAATAGATGACTGGTATAGTAAAACTAGCAGGTAAAGCCCTGCATCAATAGACGACCAATGACATTCTCAGTCTAACTCCTAACTGGCTAGTCTCACTCTATTGTGCTGTAGAAATATTCATAACTCTCCCCTAACCTACAACCTTAATGCTCGACCTCCATAATTCCCTGTCAAGGATCATCTCCTCAGTAATCCTAAGTCGCGCCATGAAAACTACTAGTATAACATTGGTTCTCCTAAACAAGCTTTCTCTATTCTTATTCATCTCTATATGACTTCTTTTTTAATCTCTATGTGAAGAAAGAAAAAAGTGAAATCGAAGGGGAGGATTAGAAATGTGCTTTAGAACTTGCGCACTGAGTTTGTTTTATATAACCAAAATATTTTATTAAGATTCCTAGTCCTATTCTTGAGGAATTTGTTAGTCAGTTTAAATTTTTTAGGATTAGGATAGGGGTGAAATTTGGTTTATTTTTTTTATTTAATTCTACCTTGTATATACATGTCACTTTATTTAATACGTTGGAAAGAAACCCTATATAGCTAAAATTAAAACCGAGGTTGTAACTTTTTATAGACCTTTATTTTGTGTCTAAATCCATGTTCATTGTCCAGGTGTACTTTCTTTGAAAAAAGGTTTTTAATTCGATAAGGAATTATATAGGGTATTCGCAATCGGACCCGATTCATCTGAATTCATGCCAAGGAATCGTGGGATAAAATGCTTCCTAACAAAGATGACTCCCAGAGGCGTATCTAGTTTTGTGATATCGGGTTCAACTAACTGAAGTTATAACTTTTAACACGGAATATAAATTTTTGCGTAAAAATCCACTAAAATTACAATAAATAATAGATATAAATCTATAATTTTAAAGATATAATATACAATGGGTTCAATGATTAAAACCTCACAGGCCGAAGCCAGAGAGTTTAAATCATGGATGTGCTTCTGATGACTCCATACTCAGGACTCGAATCCGAGACCTTTAAATTATACATGTCGTATACTATATATATAATTTGATAAACAATTATATTAGACCAAAATCAAGGCTACAAGGAATTGAATAATGATCATCAAATTGTTTGAAGCATGCCTAGAGCAAGATGAAGCACTTGAATGCCGACTTGAATGCCAACCTCTCCTTCCTCCGAAGAATATTCCTCGACCATGTCTTCCAAACTCATGTATATATACTCTTCTTTCTGGAAATGAGAAAACAGGTCAGATCCATCTAAAAGTTGTGCAAACTCTTCTGTAGTACCTTTCCCATTTGTGTATTCTCTTTTTCTTGAGAGATAATTTTGAGATAATATCTATTAGACTATGTAATAAAATTAAATTTGAATCTATAGATGAAGATTTTGAATTGAATTGGAACCCGTTTGGATTGGCTTAATTTAAGCTCGTTTAAGCCAAAATAGCTTTTAAATCATTTTGTACCATTTGGACAAAGTAAAAAAAATACTTTTAAGCACTTATTTTTAAGCTAAAATGATAAAAATAAGCCACAAGCCAAAAGCTAGAATTCCTAACTTATAGTTCTTGAAATATAAAAATATAAAAACAAAAGATATTATTTAAGCCCATCCAAACCAGCTCTTGAAATATAAAAATAATTATGTCGAATTAAAAGATAAACATCTTTTTAAAAAACAATGAGATAATGGTGAAGATATTATTTAAACAAAAAATTTCAATTAGTAAACTTAACACTTTCTATATATAAAGTTTTCGAATTTGTACGGGAATATAAAAAGAATTATTTTAAATTGAAAGATAAACAATTTTATGAAAGCATGAATAATAATGGCAAAGGACATTATTTTAAACAAAAATTTCAATTAATAAACGTAATGTTCTAAAATTATGAATGTAGTATTACAATTATAAGTAAAAAAAATTAAGAATATCTTATATAGCAGTTAACTAAAATTTATTTGATTTCTCTAAAAATAACGTAATATCATTTTTTGACAATTGTTTTTGCAGGAGTATCATTTTCTTTGATGCCCGAATAGTGTAACTACAAGTCGTTGTAATTGATGGTAAAGTACATTATTTTAAACTGCTTCTGCTTCTCCTCAAAACTATTTTCTTTCCAAAAGCTTGGCCAAACACCTTAGAAAAAAAATATTGTTGCCTCAAAAGAAGCTTGGCTAAACAACCTAATAATGTTCGCGCATCATGCGGGTACTAATACTACTTAAAATTAAAGGAAGAAATTCAGAAGTGGTTTGATTTACAACAGCTAATTAAAAAGTTAGTCACGGTTTCAAAATTAATTAAAAGTTAGTCACTTTTTTATGCGAAAATAAAATTTGGACAAAAATACATTAGTCAAATCCAAAAAATATTCCAACACAATACGCCGGAAAGCCTGCACGTTCTACTTGGCTATATTTGTATTTGTATTCCACCAATAAAAAAAGTTTACCCCATCAAAGAAATTTTGCTGACAACTATATTTAATAGCATTAATTTGTAATCTACAATACAAGGTAAATAATTTTGTTATAATATATTAAATTATATTGATGGTGTATCTCTAACTTAAATGCACTAATATATAGATATCTTAGGATATAGGACGCACTGTACCCTTTTTTCCCTGTAGCTTAAATTAATTGCGGAAGATATATGTATGCATGGGGAAAATAGAAGGATCCTTATTTATGGAAATATGAAAACCTTTTTCCTGTATGAAAAAGAAAAGACAATAGTATATATCTGTATATGGTAACTTAATAATACGCGATCGAAATAAAAGTTAATTTTGGTAAGTAAATAAAAAGTTCC